ACCACTCCCTGCTCAATATCGCTGGAAAACATCAGATCCATGGCACGAAAGAACTTCATTGTGTCCTTTAGGACGGCACTATTCGTTGCCATCATGGGTCTCACCCAATCCCGCGCTCCCTTTTCAAGATGCCCAATCACGAAAGCCACTCGCGATTCCTCGTCAGGGAATTCATCAAACTGCACATTGAGGGCATATTGCATCTCTGTCCTAAAGGCATGGTAGTCCTTGGGGTCCCCCCCAAACTTCTGCACCAATCCTGGTACCTTTCTGGGGAACTGGGTGGCTTTTCCCCTTTTGTCTGCATCCTGAGCCCTTCTCTCCTCAAGCCTTGCCGTCTGCAGCGCCAGCTGGATCTCCAACGCCCTGTAGCTTTCCTCCAGGCTTGGCCCTGCTCCAACTCCTGCTTGCCCGGTTCCGGCTGGTTCGCTCATGATGCCTTCTCCTGCACAAACAGCTTACAAAGACTGTCGGAATGCTGTGATGGGATGATGAGCTGCTTGTGCGTAAAAACGTAGTCCCTCAGAGTTTGTTCAAGCCCACAAACTTCTGTCTGTGACAGAGCCCCTCAGACATGACTGCTCTAGTCACTTGCAGATTCCGACAGTGGTTGCTTTCGGAATCGTTTCCAGCATAAAAGCTCCTTAACGGAAACACGTCTTCTGGACTCACGGCGTGACAGTTTCCGGCGAGGAGTGGGTCTCCCTATGGGAGCTTCAGATACCTCCCCACTATTCTCGCTGGACGTGTCCCTGAGCCCTCCCTCCTGCTCGCTTTCCCTCAGAGATCCACCTCTCCCTCTGCTGGTTCCTGCTTCAGCTGCTGAGTCTCTCCCAGCCTGCGTGAGCCCTTCCACCACCGGTTCCTCCGATGGCAGTTCCCTGACACATTCCTTTGCCAAATAAACGTTCAAAGGATATGCAGGAAACCACCCCACAAGCAGATTCTCTGTCCTGCATCCATCTGGCATGTCTGTCACTGAACTTCTGTTTAGATTGCAATGAACGTATTTTGCTATCCAATTTTTTCCCTTCCCTTCTACTAAGCATGAGTGCGTGAACCAAGGATTTCTGTGGTACTTCATTGGAAAGTTTCCAAAAAGCCAATATAACAGAATTAATTATTTTCCTGCTGAAGGCAGTCAGAAGTCTAGCATCCATATAAAGTGAGGCAGAAAGAGGTTCAGGGTCTCTAAGCCTTCCAGGATTAATTCTGAAGATTTAGAAGAATTCCCCCTAAAGCAGTAGAATCCATCAAAACAAAAGAAATATTGCCACATTCTTCTGTAATCTCCACGATGTAGCAGGATTTGAAAGTGTCATCTTGGCGCATCTTGTGGAGGCATGTTGTATACATCAATTATGTGAGAAATCATTAGCGGCTATTGCAGACACACAATAGTCAGGCTCTTTCTTTGTAGCGCTGCATCAATTTTTTTGTCAGTTTTGGTTTTTGCTGTGGAAGTCAACAAATGTTCATAAACAAACCCACATGCCAGTCTTCTATGTTTTTGCACAAATTTTCCCTGCTCGCTTGCTCTTCAGGGGGAAAGAAATACCATTCCCATTACAAGAACCAGTGATATTCTATTCAAATGTGCATTCTATCAAAAGTAACAAAGTGCTAATGTGTAGAATTGCCTGCAGATGCACATCTGAATGTGAATCTTGTTCCTCTGCACTGCCTTATTTTTACTGCATCACAATGTGACAGAGCATTGGTTCAGTTATGTCAATAACAAGCAAGGTGTTCCCCCTTTCCCCTGACCTCATAGAATCATAGAATCATAGAGTTGGAAGAGACCACAAGGGCCATCGAGTCCAACCCCCTGCCAAGCAGGAAACACCATCAGAGCACTCCTGACATATGGTTGTCAAGCCTCTGCTTAAAGACCTCCAAAGAAGGAGACTCCACCACACTCCTTGGCAGCAAATTCCACTGTCGAACAGCTCTTACCGTCAGGAAGTTCTTCCTAATGTTTAGGTGGAATCTTCTTTCTTGTAGTTTGGATCCATTGCTCCGTGTCCGCTTCTCTGGAGCAGCAGAAAACAGCCTTTCTCCCTCCTCTATGTGACATCCTTTTATATATTTGAACATGGCTATCATATCACCCCTTAACCTCCTCTTCTCCAGGCTAAACATGCCCAGCTCCCTTAGCCGTTCCTCATAAGGCATCGTTTCCAGGCCTTTGACCATTTTGGTTGCCCTCCTCAGTGCCTTGCAAACAGTTTTTCACAAATGCTGCAAATAATTGCCAAGAAGGAGGAGTTTAGTGGAAAGGAGGTCTGTTTCAGAAGGGGCAAAATGTTCACAAAGCAAACACCACTGTTCCCTTCCAAAGTCTGCACCAAAGCAGTCAGTTTGGCTGCATAGCCCTGGTTGGCCCTTCTAACTTGAAGATTTCTATGATACAACTTTGCAGAGCTATGTTACAGGTGAGAGCTAGTGTAGCACAGGGTAGAGATGAAACTATGGGCTAATAGTATGGACATAATAGTGCAAGACAAAATCAAAGGCAGAAGGAAAGGAACCCATGGCCAGCAAGGAGCAATGTCACCTAGTTGCTTAGGTAAAGGTAAAGGGACCCCTGACCATTAGGTCCAGTTGTGGATGACTCTGGGGTTGCAGGGCTGATCTCGCTTTATTGGTTGAGGGAGCCGCCGTACAACTTCTGGGTCATGTGGCCAGCATGACTAAGCCGCTTCTGGCCAACCAGAGCAGCGCACAGAAACGCCGTTTACCTTCCCACTGGAGTAGAATCATAGAATAGAATCATAGAGTTGGAAGAGACCACAAGGGCCATCGAGTCCAACCCCCTGCCAAGCAGGAAACACCATCAGAGCACTCCTGACATATGGTTGTCAAGCCTCTGCTTAAAGACCTCCAAAGAAGGAGACTCCAGCACACTCCTTGGCAGCAAATTCCACTGTCGAACAGCTCTTACTGTCAGGAAGTTCTTCCTAATGTTTAGGTGGAATCTTCTTTCTTGTAGTTTGGATCCATTGCTCCGTGTCCGCTTCTCTGGAGCAGCAGAAAACAACCTTTCTCCCTCCTCTATATGACATCCTTTTATATATTTGAACATGGCTATCATATCACCCCTTAACCTCCTCTTCTCCAGGCTAAACATGCCCAGCTCCCTATTATCTAGTACCTATTTATCTACTTGCACTTTGACGTGCTTTCAAACTGCTAGGTTGGCAGGAGCAGGGACCAAGCAATGGGAGCTCACCCCGTTGTGGGGATTCGAACCGCCAACCTTCTGATCGGCAAGCCCTAGGCTCTGTGGTTTAACCCACAGCGCCACATCCCTTAGAGCAGCATGCAAACCTAATCCAGAAGTTTCCTCTTGCAAAAGTCAGAAAAGACCATCCATTCTGCATCACTCTTTGGTGTGATGAGGTTTTCTTGTTGGTGTGACAGATTTCCCTGCAATTCCCTCTTGTGACCAAAAGTGAATGATAGTGTTCAGGCTGAATTTCCTGCTTCACGTCCCACGGCTCACCAATTCAAGACCCATCAGAAGGGGCATGTGGTCCCTCAGTCCTATCCAAAAAAGTTCCATGCACACACCTGAAAATTTTCTGCACACATGAAGGCTTTGCTGATGTGGATGCCACTCTAGAGCATCCAGAAATTTAATTTGCATTTCATTGGGCATCATGACATTATGGTGTTTTAAGTAATGAAAAAGGCTATCTCCCTTCTGTTGCCATGCTTTCTAATGTATAAGAAAAATGTAGGCAATGGTATTATTTAAATACATAATAGATATACACACACTTGCAAGAATGCCTGGAATTGTGAGAGTCTACAAGTTGAGATTAAACCCTCAAAAAATGAGATGCTTTGTGTAGGGAAGTCATCTACTCCATATGAAGGTTTACAACTGGTGTAAACCACTCAACCACAGCGTCTCCATCTTGCTGTGATCCAAGCTCAGTAATAAAGATGAATTCATGCACGCTCAGACTGCAAACCTGCCCATTGAAGGAGAATGTAACACCCACCTGAACTGGTTGACACCATCTTCCTGAATGGACAAACTACCGTACCCACCAGCAGCATATCCATCTGAGTTTCACTTCAATGGCCCTCATCTATTCCATTACTGCTCCCAAATACTGGTTCTGCACTTCAGCTAGAAAAGACGGGTAGCTGGATATCATCACCATTTTGAAAACACCCAATTCCAAACCCTTTCACCACTTCACTCAGCAGTTTCATGTACTTCTTAAATCACCATGGGTGGTGTCATTCTGTGAAGCTGAACGTTCGGAGATTCAGGACAGAAGAAAGGAATGACTTCTTCACACAATGCATAATTAAACTATGCAATTGGCTGCCAGTTGCTGTAGATCACGAGTGGGAGAGTTCTAATGTGCTCATGTGCTCTTTGTGGGCTTTCCATAGGCATCTGGTTGGCCACTGTGAGAACAGAATGCTAGACTGGATAGACCTTTGGTCTCCTACAACACAGTTCTTCAAACATGAAGGCCAAAGAAAAGTCTGATAATGCCAGCTCCTGGAACTGGTTCTTTGGGGAGGAATGGATCCTCTGAATAAAAATGCCCTCAATCCCCAATTGCTTAGAGCCTAAGCAGAGGGATCCTGTGATCAGTTGCGTTGAATGCGACAGTCAATAGGGGTATATATATCACTTATACAATCTTTTTAGACTTCCATCAGCACCTCTGATGATCCACCGTTTTAACCACTTCTTATGCATTTCTTAACTTTATATTGCCTTTACATCTCTTAAAAAATCATCCTTCCCCTTATCCATTTTTGCAATACTTCCAATAATACTCCTCACAAAACTTCTTGCAAACCTACAAACGTTGTCTGATCTTAACAAATACTTTTTAAATAGTCCAAAAACTTACTCCAGTCTTCCGTGAATTTCTCGTCCCGCCGGTTTCGAATCCTTCCTGCTAGTTTATCTAGTTCTGCATAGTCCAATAACTTCATCTTCCATTCTTCAATAGTCGGTAATTCTTCTTGCTTCCATTTTTGGGCCAATAATATTCTTGCTGCTGTTACTGCATATAAAAAGAGCTTACTTTCATTTCTATTTATATCACTCCCAATAATGCCTAGTAAAAATGCTTCTGATTTCTTTATAAATGTATATTTCAACATTTTTTTCATCTCATTTTATATCATCTCCCAGAAGCATTTCACCTTTTTACATTCCCACCACATGTCATAAGCGACATGTACTATCAGCATGACCAAGCCAATGTAAGCAGTTCATCCATAATATCCAGTAATTTCCCCATGAAAATATCATTCACAACTGCTATAGTTGCCATGATCCTCAAGATTCAATGAGGCTTTCTCACAGCTACCTCCTTCAGGGTGGCTGAAACAAGCCCTCTGCCAAAGAGGCGTTTATAACCTTGTGGACCTAAGTGGTGTGCATCATGGCTTTAAAAGTTGATATATAATATATAAGCATAGCACTGTATGTCATGGCTTTGCAAGTGATTGCAGACTTGGTTTTTCAGGCCTTAGGAACAATGTTTTTCTGTCTTCTAGTTATACAGTTTGGATTCGTCACGCTCTTTGTCGCTTCCTTTCCGCTGGCTCCTGTGTTTGCCCTGCTCAACAATGTCATTGAAGTTCGCCTGGATGCCAAAAAGTTTGTCACTGAGCTAAGGAGGCCAGATACAGTGAGAGCAAAAGATATAGGTACGTTTTTTAAATTTAAAATTATGATAAAGATGGTGTATAGAAAGGCGGGAGAGAAAAATATGAGGTCTGGAATTTGGTTTGCAATGAGAACAGGAATGGAAATTGCACAGCTTAACAAATCTTTCTTCTCTCTTACAGGGATTTGGTTTAACATTCTGAGTGGCATTGGAAAATTTTCAGTAATAATTAATGTGAGTATTGGCTTCTTGCTTACGAATGCTATGGTAAGAGGGGATTTTACTTAAATTGTCAAGAATTTCAGGATTTTCTTATTTAAACATCAGTTCATTTGTTTATAAAAATGTATACCACTTAATACAATAAAATTATTTAAGCAGTTTACATAAAAAATGATAAAAATGCAACAACATACCTTAAAAATTTCCTAAAACCTAGATTAAAACAAAATGAAATTATACATCACAAATTAAACTGAGCAGTGTGCTAAACAAGAGAGTCTGAGTCCAGGAAAGCTTGGCTAAATATAAAAGTTGGTTTTTTTAAGTGTTTGAAGGTCATTACTGTCTCTACCTCACTTTATTTCCTGGGGAAAGGCACTCCAAAAGGTGAGTGCTGTCACTGAGAAGACCCACTTCCAAGTTGTTGCTCCTCAGAAGACCTCAAAAATCAGTTTGGTCTGTTCATTGTTTGAGGCTTTGAATATTGAACAACAAAGCCTTGACATTGGCTTGGTAGCTAACAGGTAGCTAGTACAGCTCTTTCAGCAATGGTGTAAAATGTGTAAAGCTGGATGTCCCACTAAGCACCATAGCAGCTGCATTTTATGCTAACATGGTAGCATAGAAAGGGTAGTTCCATATACACTGTGCTACTGTTGTCTAATTGTGCAGTAACCAATATATGGAGCACCATGGCAAGGTTATCCCTGTTTGACACACCAACCAAAGGTGGTAATGGTCCTCAAGAGGTCACCTTGGCCTCAAGTGAAAGCAGTGGATCCAAGAGCACCCCACAAATTGTGCACCTGCTCCTTCAGAGGGAGTACAAACCTGTACAGAACCCAGTTCTTGGGACCTGGGAACTGCCCTGTTGATTCTCAGGCCTGAATCCAGACTGGGATACATTAAGATAATAAAGGTAAAGGTAAAGGTACCCCTGCCCGTACGGGCCAGTCTTGCCAGACTCTAGGGTTGTGCGCCCATCTCACTCTATAGGCCAGGGGCCAGCGCTGTCCGCAGACACTTCCGGGTCACGTGGCCAGCGTGACAAGCTGCATCTGGCGAGCCAGCGCAGCACACGGAACGCCGTTTACCTTCCCGCTGGTAAGCGGTCCCTATTTATCTACTTGCACCCGGGGGTGCTTTCGAACTGCTAGGTTGGCAGGCGCTGGGACCGAACGACGGGAGCGCACCCCGCCGCGGGGATTCGAACCGCCGACTTTCGATCGGCAAGTCCTAGGCACTGAGGCTTTAACCCACAGCGCCACCCGCGTCCCTACATTAAGATAATAAGCTTCACCAAAAGACAAATTCATGTCTACTGGCCGTGATAGCTATGGTCTACCTCCAGTACATCTCTGAAGACATTGCTCTGAATCTCAGGTAGGGAGGGCTATGCTCAGGTTCTACTTGCAGGCTTCCTGTGGGCATCTGGTTGGACATTGTGAGATCCAGTAGGTCTCTTCTTGTGTTTTGATTGCAGCTGAATCACCACCACCTTCTAGACTGCCTTGACCAAGGTGTATTGGACCTGTGGGTCCACAGTGGGCTTCTTCAGTTATGGTTGCACATTGCTGCCTCCTTCGAGACAACAGGAACCATTCTATTATGCAAAAAGCCATTAAGCAGGTTTACCCATGAATTTGAACTGAATCAAATTTCTCCCACATCCCCATTCACAGTGGGCAGTCATGTGCTTAGGGGTAATCTGAATGCAGAGATTAAGTGCAACCACACACTCTCCATGTGTGATTCCCAACAACTGACTTGCTGCCTCCGACATGGCAAGTAGAACCTAGCCATGGTGGCTAGAAGCCATCAGTAGCCTTATCCTCCATTGCTGCTTTATTTTGAGTTCACATTGCAGTCCCAAAACTCTGCTTTAGATTCAGGCTTTATCCTTCTCACTATCTGGCTCACAGCCACTTCTTTTGTTCCCTTAACAGCTCATACTTAGCGGGCCATTACTAGGCTGGTGTGGCTATCCCAGCAATTGAATCCATGTTGGATCCAGGAATTGGGGGGGGGGGCTGAGGCATGCAACCTGCCCCCCCCAAGAACTCATAACAATATGTTCAATTTCAATTGCGTAAATTGCCACAAGGCTCATCCTTCTATTATCATCCTTCTTTGCTCACTCATCTTTTAAACAAATAAACTGTTATCTAACATCAAACTGACGGCAGTAAAAATCTATCCAAGATTTATATTAAAAAGGTATAAAAGGCCCCCTATGCAAAGCTCTTGAACAAATGCCAGACTCCTTGGCCTCTCAGCCACTGCACATCTATTTTTATTAAACAGCCAGATTACAGGTCAGCCTGGTAGGATGCTCTTCCACACTGCTGTGGAGACAAATAATACTTGAAAGTCCAACTGGTTCTGGTCCTCAAGTCACAAAGCAGCTTCTCTGGGGATTTCTGGTTATCTTTTGGATCACTGTCCTCATCCATAAACTGACTCCAAAGTACACTATGCATATCTGTGCTCCTATGGTAAAGGTTTTTCTTTTCTCCCAGGCCTTTGTCATATCCGTCACTTCTGATTTCATTCCGCGCCTTGTCTATCAATATGCATATAGTCACAATGGAACCATGCATGGCTTCATCAATCACACTCTCTCGTACTTCAATGTCAGTGATTTCAAGGCTGGAACCCAGCCAGAAGCCTCAAGTTTCGAAGAGGATGTTTCCCTTTGCAGGTAAAGCAGCCTTACCAATCACTGGCTATTGTATTTAAGACTTACGGTAGGAGCAATTTTGGTAGGTGGTTCCACTAACTTTAGTGGGTTAAAATTAGAGTAAGACTGATCTCTGCCATTGAAGGCAAAAGGTAAATTTTCCAGCTACATTTGCCCTTTCTGTAAGCTCCTCACATTTTCTAAAGCTCAGTGTGCCCAAGACTTGACTCCCTAGGAAACACACACAATATTTCTTCTTTAATCATTTGGAAACAAATATGAGAACAAAAAAATAGTATATAATAGGTATCCATGTTTTCTAGGGGCAGCCCCTATTTCTGGTCCCTGGCCCATATAAATCACTGTCCTTGTTTTGCATTCTGTGGATGCCTTCTTAAAATATTGTTAGTGTGTGTACATGTTCAGTGGAGTTGCCATTATTGAGGTTCACCCCTCTTCCTCAAGTCTCTAGAAGTCAAATCTCAATGTGGATGAATGTGCCTTGACTGAATGGATACAGTATGTTTTCCCCACAGGTGGAAAATAATTTTGGGATTGAGATTTTGATCAGAAAAACATGGAGAAAGATTGATCAGCCCCTTCCTCTTCCCCCTGCTGTTATCAATGGAGAGCCCTCAATGGAGACATTTAAGTAAAACCAAAAGCTGTCAGGGAGGGTTCACACCTAGTTGGATTCTTAACATAGAGGGAGGCTATGAGCAATGTATTTTAGCTCAATTAAACACACAGAGGCACACATTTCATTTCTGGAAAAATTTTGGGGAGAAAGTTGACCTGATACAAGTCAATGGTATTACAGTGGTGCCTCGCAAGACGAAATTAATCCGTTCCGCGAGTCTCTTCGTCTTGCGGTTTTTTCATCTTGCGAAGCACGGCTATTAGCGGCTTAGCGGCTATTAGCAGCTTAGCGGCTATTAACGGCTTAGCGGCTTAGCAGCTATTAACGGCTTAGCGGCTTAGCGGCTTTAAGAAAAAGGAAACAAACTCGCAAGAACTCGCAAGACGTTTCGTCTTGCGAAGCAAGCCCATAGGGAAATTTGTCTTGCGGAACGACTCAAAAAACGGAAAACCCTTTCGTCTAGCGAGTTTTTCATCTTGCGAGGCATTCGTCTTGCGGGGCACCACTGTACATGGAAGCCGGAATTTCTCATTATGGGCTTCACTTGATATTAAGGTGTCTTTAACGGAATCCATAACAAATTCAAACACTCCCTAGTGATGCATTCTTAGAATAGGTAGGGCAACATTTTTATCCACTACACTGAAATATCTGGTATTCGTTCTAAATGAACATTGCAACAGTGGCAATAATCTGTCAACAATCTGTGACATATAATTAGCCATAATTTTTTTCTTGCAGAGTACAAGGGTTATTTTTTTTTTATTCTGCTCAAGGCAAAATGAAAATGACACCTTACTCAGTTAAACACTCCTTTGGTATAGATTATGAGGATGAATTTATCGGACCCTAACATTAAGTTTGTCACTAAAAGCTTATCCACACGACACTAGAGCAAACCTGAGTTTGCAACCAGGTGTGCATTTGACAAATACTGCAGGCAATCCCATCACTTTGTGAAGTACCACTGTCTGATACAAAGATTTGCGTGTTTCATTCATAGACTATATTTTTAAGATACAGACTTTTAACAGGGAAGGTCCAGCCTTTGGTTCTAAATCTCCGTCTGCAAAAGCAACAATATTTTAATGCAAAGTGATTTCAACATAAATGGGAAAAGGTGTGTTCAGTTATGTATCATTTTTGGACTGAAAGCGACAAGTGTTCGCTGGATAGATTTTTTATTCCAAACATGGGGTGAATTAGCAAATATTGACAACTTACACTCCCATTTCTGTTTTTGCTGGAATTCTCAGACATCCCTCATCCTAATAAGTTACAATATTGGCCAGATAATGTTGATCAGCTTGCCAGTATAATATCAGAATTGCACACTGCCATTATGTGCACATTTAAGCGTGTTCTCCTTCATGGAGAGCACGTGTTGCGGTGGGGGCTGCCAGGACACTCCAAAGTTGGGGGCAGGCTAATTGATCGTTGGCCACTGATGCGATTGGGGCTTCCTTTGTTGTTAGGAAGAAGTTAATGTTGCCACTTGTTGATTGACAGCCAGAAATGCTAAAACTCCTTGCATGAGGCCAGGGCTTCCTCTTTTCGCCCGTGCATCGGATTGCCCGTCCCCCCTCCCTAGAATTAGGGTTGTTCGCTTTGACCTTGCTATGCCTGTCATGGGCTCGTCTGCTCCTGGGGCAGGGGCCCGGTAGGAATTTTGTCCATCTGGCTGATTGGTTTTTGCCTACTGCATAGCAAATCGTCACAACTTGTAATGTTGTGGTTAGGCATTGGTTTATGGTTTGGTTGGTTGAGCAGCATGGATTGGCTGTGCCTGCCCCTCTAATGCTGCTGCTGCAAGGGATTCCGTTAAAGGAATCAGGGGCTAACTATTGCTTGTCCACTCTGTCAAGGGGGCTCGGGCCATAGTAATGAGCTCCTGGTTGCATTTGGAGAGGGCTGAGGGCAGGTTCCCTGCTCCATCGCTACCCCCAAGTGTATTCCCCTTTTCTGACTTTCGCATCGTGCAGAATGTCAATCTGTCCCCCATGGTGGGGGCAGATAGTCGCAACCAATGCCTAAGCAACCACTCACATTTTTTGTATTTTAATAAAGTTGTGGCCAAAATTATGCCAAAAACCTTAAACAAAAAATTCTGTGTGATATGTGAGTTATTGGGGTGGCCCTGGGGACCTCGACACGCAACAGGTGGAAATGCAGCCATTTGCCACTGGACAGATACTTCCATATGATGCTTTAGTCAGAGAAGTGGTCCATTTCATCAGGGCTGTCACTTCCAATTGGTAGTAAGTCTCCAGGCTCCAAACTCAGCAACTTTCCCAGTTCTGTTATATGAGAGCATTCTCAAGTCCAGGATGGAGGAAGGCATCCTGCTCCAGGGAGGGTTGCACCCCGCTGAAAGCAATCATTTCTCATTTATGCTGCTATTATAAATAACTTAGTCTCATTGCTGGAAATACTTTCACGCTCATTTGTGTGCAGATAATTCAGAAACTCCAAAGTGCAGCACCCAGATTACTGTGCTGGGCTTCAAATTAGAGCTCAAATAACTCCTGTTTTAAAACAGCTACACTGGATGCCAGCTCATTTCTGGGCGCAGTTTCAGCTGCTCACATTAAGTGTTTAAAGCCCCAAATATCTGAAAGACTGTTTACACCCCCTATTCACCTTATCGGGGGCTTTCTTGGTCCTTTGGCCACCCTCAGAGGTGTTGGGGAAAGGTGGCTCAGGAAAGGGCCTTCTCTGTGTCAGCCCCTAAATTGTGGCACTCGCCCCGTCCCGTCCCCAGAAGAAGAAGAAGAAGAAGAGTTTGGATTTGATATCCCGCCTTTCACTCCCTTTAAGGAGTCTCAAAGCGGCTAACATTCTCCTTTCCCTTCCTCCCCCACAACAAACACTCTGTGAGGTGAGTGGGGCTGAGAGACTTCAGAGAAGTGTGACTAGCCCAAGGTCACCCAGCAGCTGCATGTGGAGGAGCGGAGACACGAACCCGGTTCCCCAGATTACGAGACTACCGCTCTTAACCACTACACCACACTGGCTCTAAGCACCTAGCATCTTCATTGTTGCAGAAGCACCTCTTTGCAACAGTTAAAATATTTTGTTTTTGTGGGACTCATCTCTCCTGCTTAATTTATACTGTTCTGGTTCATTTGGAATGGCTCGTTGGTTTTATAACTGTGGTGGTTTTATCTGTTTTTGCAATTGTTGTAACACGGCCTGGGATCTTAGGGTGAAGAGCGGGTAAGATCTTTTGTAATAAATAGAATAAAAGAACCTGGGACCTTCAGCATGTCCAACTCTTTCCTTCCTTCCGTATTTTGTCTCCCACTCTCTCTCAGCCTTAAATTATCCCACTATACTAAATATAGGCCAGACATTGCATGCTTCTCTTTTCAAACTCTCCACTGTGGGAACCTAAGCTGAACGTTCTAAAACTGCGCCTTCTATACAAATAAATATCTCTCTATCCTTTTGTATTCTTTCTAAGAACAAAATTGGCATATTTACATGCCTAACAACCATTCTCCTTTGTATGCTTTCTCAGAAGTAAGTCCTACTGAGCTCAAGGGGATCACAGCTCAACAAAACAATTTATTATATTTATCTTCATAAAAAGTGTATGGTTGTTCACTATTAAGCCTATTTACTTGCTGGTAGAAAGTGAGCTCCATGGGTACTAGTCACAAAATGGCTACCATGGGGATCATGGCATAACACAGGCATAGGCAAACTCGGCCCTCCATATGTTTTGAGACTACAGTTCCCATCATCCCCGGTCCTGTTAGCTAGGGATGATGGGAGTTGTAGTCCCAAAACATCTGGAGGGCCGAGTTTGTCTGTGCCTGGCATAACACAAAGAGGTTGCCATGTGGGAAGTGACATGACACAAAATGGTTGCTGCATCTAAAAAAAGCAGAAAAAGAGAGTGCCACAATGTGTTACAAGCATGCCAGCACTTCCGCCTCCCATCTCCTGCCCATCAACTAAGAAAAGGTGCCTACATCTGCCACTCCTGGGCACAGACAAAAGCTCTTTACATCTCTCCTCTGTTCAGAACCATTTAGGGAGGACACATGTGCAATCTGGCATCCAGTGAAATGTGGGCAACTTTGTTTATTTATTGGATTCCATTTATCAGTCACTTCGGTCACTAAAATATCTCAAATTTATTTAGCAGTCACTAAAATATCTCAAAGCAAATGTGTTGCTTGATTTATCAGAGTCAACCCATGTCAGTCAAAATTGTTAAAGCAATTCATGACTGCAGCCCGACACATGGGGCTGTGGTTGGTGGGTGTGAAAAAGAAATATTGAAGCATAATCGGAGAACCCAAACACTGTTGCTGGAAATGAAAGGTACGAATTGCACAACTGCTGGGGAACTTTCTAGCTGGAAAATTGAACTGATCCGTGTTATGTGTAGCAGATATGGCTCCAAAATGTGCAGTTTAAAGCAATGGCTCCATTTTACAGGTTTAAGGATTACAGAGAACCGCCATGGTCTGAAAACCAGTATGAATTTTCTAAGCAGTACTGGACTGTTTTATCTGCCCGTTTGGCCTTTGTCATTATCTTTCAGGTAAACCCTTTCTGCGTTATATTGCTTCACTGCCACATGTAATGCATTGATTGCTGCCTGCAGTACAGTGGTACCTCGGGTTAAGTACTTAATTTGTTCCGGAGGTCCGTACTTAACCTGAAACTGTTCTTAACCTGAAGCACCACTTTAGCTAATGGGGCTTCCTGCTGCCGCCGCACCGCCGGAGCCCGATTTCTGTTCTTAACCTGAAGCAAAGTTCTTAACCTGAAGCACTATTTCTGGCTTAGTGGAGTGTGTAACCTGAAGCGTATGTAACCTGAAGTGTATGTAACTCAAGGTACCACTGTACTTGTTTGTCCATTGATTTTTATTCACGCTTGTTCACTGACCCTTTCAAATTCCCCTGCCCTTGTGGAACAGTCTCAGCTAAACTAGAAGAGAATTAAAACATCTTGATGTATTGCTGATGGAGTATAATATAACCAGAGACAGTTATATTATTGAGCACTCTCCATGCCTGCTGTGCCTTGTCCCCGCCCAGCGTGTGAGAGCAGCGAGGGCTGGGTTAGCGCGCTCGGTCCACGCTTGGGGGGTATGCGCGCATGCACCCCACACACTGGTAGACAGGGCTACACCCCTGGCTATACCTCCCCAAAATGAGTGCTTTAGGGATCTTTTCAATGCTGTAAGGAACACGTCTTCCTCCTGCTTATTTAATTTATTTCTCTTGCAGAACCTGGTAATGTTCCTCAGCGTGCTTGTTGACTGGATGATCCCAGACATCCCCAAGGATATCAGTGAGCAGATCAAGAAAGAAAAGAGCGTGCTGGTTGATTTCTTCTTGAAGGAAGAGCACGAGAAACTGAAACTGATAGAAAACTTTATCACGCGAGACAAGCAAAGGAGCAAGAATGAGACAAGAGGAAGGAGACTTCGAGCGGCAAGTTTCTGCCAGTTCAACCGAAGTCAACGGGGCAGCTTAACATCCTTTAGTTCACACCACACTGATGTATGATTCCTTGAGGGCTCATCTACACCACTTATAATCGCTCTGTCCCCAGAGAACTGTAGTAGTGAAAGACGCTTATGTTCTTCAGCTGAATATTCTCATCATCACTCTAGCCCGGCTACAGTTCCCAAGATTTGGAGAGGAATACATGACAGCTGAGCTAGCATGATGCACATATAGGTTTGTAGTGCAAGAAATAACAGCCAGTACGAAACATATCGAATAATAATTTACCTATTGTCTGGTTAGATCTTGAGGGGGGAAGTGATTGAGTCTAGAATGGATATTGTTTTGGACAAATAGATTATACTGGCTTTCAGAAGCTTCATTTTTAAATCTCTCTGCAGTATTCTTAATCAGATGTCCTACGTGAAAACACGCTGTATATTTATGTTACAAACTCATGTAATTTTATACCAATTTGCCTGCATTGGTTCTTCTGCCCCATCCCAAATCTTGAGAATTATAGTTTGGTGAGAGTTCTAATACCTCTCTTAGAAATCCCCCCCCCTCCTTCACAGAACTACCTTAAGAGTACACCAGCCCATATTGATGGGCCTTGTTTTGAGTGGCTGGACTGAAAGCTGCAGAACCGTAAAAACAAAATATTTACAGAGCACTTTGACATTTAGTAATGTTTCTCTCTCATTAACAACACAGTCCTGTACCTACCAACTCAGAAGTAAGTCACATAGAGTTTAGCAGGGCTTACCCTCAGGTATGTGAGTATACGCAGTGTTTCCCAACCTTGGGCCTCCAGCTGTTTTTGGACTACAACTCCCATCATCCCTAGCTAGCAAGACCAGTGGTCAGGGATGATGGGAATTGTAGTTCAGAAACAGCTGGAGGCCCAAGGTTGGGAAACACTGGAGTATAGGATTGCAATCTAAAAGTACGAAAAGGCCAAGAGAGACTACAGCATGCATATCTGAACACTTTGCTTAGGGCCTGATTTTCTCCTCTTTCGAATCCACCCTCACATTTTGTATCAGTTTCCACATACAGAAGTACACGTGCCTAACACCATTCATGAAGTGTATACACAAGAACACCCCCCCCTCAAAAAAAAAAATCCTGCATTGCATGGCAGGGGGGTTGGATGACCCTCATGGTCCCTTCCAACTCTACAATTCTATGATTTTAAGAGGAAATTATACTTTTCCAACCTAGGCAACCCACTTGTGATTTAGACAGTACCAAGCTTGTGTTCTTGTCCCATTGCTCAGTCCCATCTGATGAGCAAGTGGGACATAAATGATGGCATCCATCTGGGCAGGGAGCACGAGACATAATGAGGAAGGTGGTGCAACAGTGGCAACCTGTCCTTTGGTACCAGCACCATTTAGAGTATAGGTAGGTTGTCTAGGTTGTGAGCAGCAACTCTTTCCCTCTCTGCTACCTTGTCTCCTTCTTGCCTCCTTTTGTTCTCTTCCCCATTGTCAACCTGCTCCATCGGTGCAGAGACCTGTCTGTTTTTGCTTTTGAAACTATGTAAAGCACCATGTACACTGATGTTATGAATAAAAATAAAAATAGTAGTTTAAATCATGGGTTTTGCTCAACACCCACACAAACAACAGGGGAAAGCCCAATCCTGCTCTTCCTAAATAGTGATCTGCACATTTGGAAATTCGGACCGAGTACAAGAATCCATGAAACATCACTTAAACTAGCTTTAATGGGAGAAATGTCCATTTTAGAATACTGAAGTTATCATTGAAGTTACGGTGCTGTAAATGGCTGGCTGATACAAGCATATCTATAAGTGGTCACCTGTAGCTTCATCTTCAGATGAAGCACAGCATTTTAGTTCACTGATATCCCTAAGAGGGATTTAATGTAATTTTATGCATTAACTTAGTACTTGATCACACTTATTACTTGCTGCTGTACAATGACAGTAAATCAAGATGTTCCTATGTAAAATTCAGAGAGTTACCACTTAGGCATGCCATCTAAATGTATTTAAAGAATATTGTTATGAGGGGATTTTTGGGTTTTTTTGCCCCTTTTATTCCTTGATCAACTTTCTATTAGTTAGAAAGACAAATGGCCAGAGTGGAGATTTGAGAAGCTGGATGCAAAAGCGGCAGGCTGAGAAGCCAGAGAGAGAGAGAGATTCTGCTGGAATCTAAGGCTGCAGCTACAGGAGAAGACATCCTTGAGTGTTGATGCTTTGAACCCCTCCATCATAGGCTAGGTTGTACATATGTGTAAATAAACCATACATCATAAAGACACCACAGTCTCCGCTGTCCCTCATTCCCAAAGGAAACACAAACCCGAGTAAGTTCCTGAAACTCCTGGAATCTTACACTACTAAGAGATAGGGATGGTGGCATGCAACAATAATTTTATTTCTATCAAGATTGGCCTTGCACCAGGGGGCAAAAAGTTAAAGCACCCCCCTGTGGCGAGCCTCACTCCATAGACCCTATAACCACCACAGGTTATCTTATGGGTTTTTGTGTGAGGTACAACTTTGGTACTTGGAGACTTCAGGCAGAAGTTGAGCAAATAAAAGTGGTTTATTATATAGAAGAAAGGTGTTAAAGCAAATGAAGTGTTGGGAGATAAAGTTCTTTCAGGAAACAGTTCACTCATTAGTAATTATAGTAAATCAAGCGGATGTTACAGGCTTCTAGACTAGTTGGTTAAGTGTTCAGCTTGTTTCTAGTTTGGTTACTTCAGTTTCTTAAAACTTCATTGCATAGGTGTTAGAGCTTAACACTTTGGTTCTCAGACAAGGTGGGACTTTCTGTCAGTTTCCCAACCTCTTAACAATCCCACTCCTGTGGTATTTCCAAATAGTAGAACAGACCCAGATGGATCACCACCACCTCCTAAACTGGTTTGGGAGTCTTCTCTCTGGAAAATCTCTCCCCTCTTGACTGGAACGAGACCTGAGGAGACTTTATCCTCACAGCTTCCACAGCTCAGACTCAGCCCTCCAGAAAACTCCTGTCTGAATACTTTCACAAGACACTAAACACTGTCTTGCTATCTATGCTCAGAGACTCCTTTCTCAGGCTGTAGATATTTTCCTCAGTGGATGTTATACACACAGATCAGATCCAATTCTCCAACTTTCCCTCCAGCTATTTTCCTTAAACTAGATGCCAAACTATCTGAACCCTCCCTCAGAAACGGCTCCTTTTCCTCCAAAAACTGCTGGCTCCACCCCCTCTGTCTGTTTGTCTTGGTAACCAATCAGAAAGAGGCTCTGGCCTTCTGGTGGAATTTTGAAGCACTATATCACCACATTCTGGTCTGGCTCAGCTGTCCATCACAGCCCCATGCCAGGGTCTCAATTCTGATTTTGGGCCCTTGGCCAGTTATTTATGAAGGAAAATCCTGCTCTTAAGAGGGCAAACCACACGGTGCAAATCTTGTGCGCACTGGTCCATGATATGCACAAATGGGGGCACCCAGAATCACTTACCATGATCTTTGGAATGTCTTGGACGGTCGTGTTCTCGTTTATTCATAGATCGTTCAGGGCACCTCAAGGAGAAACTTTCCCAATGTTTAATGCATTTTCATTGTATATAGCCTCCATTGTTCCACAGAATCTGAGAAAGTTGAGCCACTTGGGGGAGGAGAGAGAGAGGGAGAGAGAGAGAACGAGCAGGTGGCTGTGGTTAAATTGCATCTAGAATTTCATCCTTTTTCTGTGAAAGTTAATGTATGTTAGTCTACTGGACAGTCTCTGGAGTCTTGCATAGTTCCCCACCCCTCCACCCCGTCCCCAAGCTCCAGCAAGGCTGGGAAAAGTAAAGGCTGGCTTGCTGGGTTATCAAAGCCTTGACTGACAGCTTCCCTGTCTGCATATGTGATACACTATCTATTTTTATCTTGATCCTGAAAGCTCAGTTTAATAGAAACTTGTCAGGTTGGTTCTGAGCGCTGGTTCGGTCCCCAAGGATTAACATTCCCACAGAAACCTTTGACTTCTCTTCCCATCCCCCAGGTCGCAAATGAAAGCCTCTCCTAAATGCCTATAACTGGAAATCTGCCGATTGCCCAACTCCCCGTTCCATTGTTGAACTCACCATTTTCTCACAGTGCAGTCCTTCCTTATCAGCCTGAAACTTGTAAGGCTACCCGTAAAGTGACTGCCATTGTACTTTCACCTCTCTGAAGGTTCCCTTTCCCCTCTCTTTCTCCAGCACAGTCGCCCAAACAGCTTTATTCAATAGAAACCTAAAAGCATATGGAAATATAAAGTAAACCCAAACAATAAGCAGTACCCAATCCATTAAAAATGATGAAAAAATGTTCCTGGGGTATGATGGGAAATGATGGAAAGGCCTCAGCCAACAGGATTCTGCAAAGCTAATACTGAAATCAGTGGGTTCAATTACACTTTCATACGCAGTGGGAAATATGAGGAACTGCCTCTGTGACAAAAATGCTTTTGAAAACCAAATACAGTGGTACCTCGCAAGACGAATGCCTCGCAAGACAAAAAACTCGCTAGATGAAAGGGTTTTTTGTTTTTTGAGCTGCTTCGCAAGACGATTTTCCCTATGGGCTTGCTTCGCAAGACAGAAACGTCTTGCAAGTTTGTTTCTTTTTTCTTAACACCGTTAATACAATTGCGACTTGACTTCGAGGATCAAGTCATAGCAGGCGGGGTGGTAGCCTTTTTTGAGGTTTTTAAAGCTTTTTGAGGTTTTTGAAGCTTTTCCAAAACTTTCCCGACACCGTGCTTCGCAAGACGAAAAAAATCGCAAGACGACAAAACTCGCGGAACGAATTAATTTCGTCTTGCGAGGCACCACTGTACGAAAAGGGCTTCGTTCATCTTCTAGTACCAGAAAGAGATGCCGTCACATTAGTTCCTCTGGTGCCACAGCTGAAGTGGGGGAAACACACACGAAGGAAAAGAAGAGTTTTGTGTGTGGGAAGCGAGGCAGAGAGAACGCAGAGGGGGAAATAAACTAAGAGAAAATGACTAAAGTTAGGCATTTCTATTGCACTTTGAACTGCAGCTTAAGAGAAGCTGAGCCTTAGTACATTTTGCTCAGATGAAAAAATGCTGTAATTAGGGTTAATACTTCGAGTCAGGAAATGCCCTTGTGATGTAGAGGAAAATACGGCAAATTTAATACACTGGTCTTCACATCTGCAGCAGCACCAAGTATGGAAACAGATTTTTGCTCGTGGGTCTTCTTCATCTTTGAGGCTGGCTGCTATCATATGCACACTATTCATACTGTTCCTGCTGCTGCTACTACTACCCCCGACTTTATACTATCCTGTCTCAAAGGCAAACTGAGCGTGGTGTATATGATGCCTTCCTTTGCTTATCTTCACAACAGACATGTGAAACAGATCAGACTGAGAGTTACTAGCCAGCCATGACCCAGTTAGCTTCACCGTTGAGTGGGGACTTTGAACTTGGCTAGTTCAGGCTTGCTGCCCCTTCAGCTTAGTCAGAAAGTTGCTTCTTCCTGTCTCTGGTAACCTCTGACTGCAAATTGACAGCTGTGTGAGCTACCTAAGGCTTGTCAGGCCCGGTCTGAAAGGAAAGGGAATGCGTTCCCTAAGGTGCCCAGTACCAGCAAACAATATATCACTTTTGACATTTTTTTAAGCAAAAAGTATTCATTCAGAAACTTGGCAGTTCCAATCCAGGATCAAGGAGAAAGACCTTCCATTTTTTACTTTCAAACTGAACACGCAAAGAGGGCTTTAGTAACACAACCAAACCAACAGCTGGTTCTGAGCTATGACTCATATTGTGTCTTAGTTGGTGGTCATTATCTAGTTCATGGCTTATGGTTGTGAACCATACTGTTTTCCTGCAACATGCTTGCACTTGTGTCAGCCAAGTCAACCTCAATCTGGTTGGCTTCTCGGGAGTTCACCCAGCCTCCTTTTTTGCTGTCTACAAAGGGATTGCAAAAGCAGGGGAGAGGTTAGGAATCAGACAGACCACAATTCGGGCCAGGAGGCACAAGCTGTACCTTACATGACATACCTTGCATGTTCAGTCTCCAGCTTAAAGGATATGAGGCAACCAAGCCGGAAAGGACCTCTGTGAAAGCCTTTGCTGGCTCATACATTGTGTAAGTGTGTCCTACAGTAAGTGGCTAATAACAGAATGTGCAATCATCATAAGAGAATACTTGCTTTTTAGATACATATTATATGAGGAAAAATAAGTCCCATATGTTTACATGACTTCCTTTTTATGATACGGTACTTTCTTTTATCCTTAATGGAACACAATTCCATTAATAGAGTGCCTTGTGGGAATTTTCTGCTTCAGTTACATGGCTTCATAAAACAGTCTTCTTCTTCTTAATAATAATAATAAATAATTTATAGTTTACAAGCCTGATTTTATTCCAATCTCAGCTCAAGTGTACATTTTTCATAGGAGTATTTCATAGTCTATTGTATAAAGTGCTTTTTTAAAATAGGGCATGTATTTGCTTTCCCCTTAGTAAGTGAGGTTACTTTCCATATGGGCTAAGGTGCGTATAAAAAAAGGATTGTTGTTGTTGTTTAGTTGTTTAGTCGTGTCCTACTCTTCGTGACCCCATGGACCAGAGCACACCAGGCACTCCTGTCTTCCACTGCCTCCCGCAGTTTGGTCAAACTCATGTTTGTGGCTTCGAGAACACCATCCAACCATCTCATCCTCTGTCGTCCCCTTCTTCTTGTGCCCTCCATCTTTCCCAACATCAGGGTCTTTTCCAGGGAGTCTTCTCTTCTCATGAGGTGGCCAAAGTATTGGAGCCTCAGCTTCAGGATCTGTCCTTCCAGTGACCACTCAGGGCTGATTTCCTTCAGAATGGATAGGTTTGATCTTCTTGCAGTCCATAGGACTCTCAAGAGTCTCCTCCAGCACCATAATTCAAAAGCATCAATTCTTCGGCGATCAGCCTTCTTTATGGTCCAGCTCTCACTTCCATACATCACTACTGGGAAAACCATGGCTTTAACTATACGGACCTTTGTTGGCAAGGTGATGTCTCTGCTTTTTAAGATGCTGTCTAGGTTTGCCATCGCCTTTCTCCCAAAGAGCAGGCGTCTTTTAATTTCGTGATTGCTGTCACCATCTGCAGTGATCATTGAGCCCAAGAAAGTAAAATCTCTCACTGCCTCCATTTCTTCCCCTTTCTATTTGCCAGGAGGTGATGGGACCAGCGGCCATGATCTTCGTTTTTTTGATGTTGAGCTTCAGACCATATTTTGCGCTCTCCTCTTTCACCCTCATTAAAAGGTTCTTTAATTCCTCTTCACTTTCTGCCATCAAGGTTGTGTCATCTGCATATCTGAGATTGTTGATATCCAAAAAAAGGATACACACACACAAAGACACACATACACCAGTCAATGGTGTAGATGCTCAAAGATTGGGCAGAAAGGTCTCTTGCACAAGCCTACCGAAATGAATAGGCACATTGCAAGACCATAGTCCTTGAAACAAGAGCATGCTAGACCTTCTGTGGTTCTGGATAGTTTAATAATGAATAAGCATTGGTGCTTTTTTTACTACCCATGTTCTTTTCATATTATTGGTTTAACTGTTCTGGGAACAGTTTGTTTAAAAATAATGAACTATGTCAACATTCTGCGGGAAATGAGGCCATAAGGAGAAACAGTCTTTCTTCTTCCTAAGTATCCTTCTCTACCATGCCAGCATTGTATTAACATTCAGAGTTCTTATTTTTAATTCATAGGAAAACTTACGACATCCGTAACCAAGAAGCAAACAATGTCTAAGAGAGTGACTGTGATTAGATCCATCCATGGACATCTGTTGCCTTATATGACAGGGAGAAATTACGTATGCAAGTCATGCAATAGGCTCCTGGCCATGGTGAATTTCCAGAAGGTCTGCAGAATTTCTGACCAAGCACAGCTCCTCCGATGGTGCCACTGTTCAACTCCCTTTCTGACGATTTGTGGGGCAGACTCTCTAGGTGTCCCTATTCAGTTCATGTCCAGAGACCTCACTGCTCAAGGCTGTCACTTTCCCAGCTCCCCTATTTGTAGCTTAAGGCCTCAGTTGCAGCAACTGACTTCAGAGACCTTGGGCTGGAGAACAGACCACCTTCCAGGTAGATTTGGGTAGAGCACCCAGTGGCCTACTCTGCATGTGGACTGACTTTCCCTTGTGAATTTGAAGCAACGTCATCAAAATTGCAGCCCTTCTCTTTGATTGCCCAGAAGGTGGCATTTTGTTTCATCATGGCAAATAGAAACATAATAATCACGCCTATGCAAATCCTGAAACCGCACGCACAAAGCCACAACCTTACCTTATAATTAATGGAGCAGCCAGATTGATCCTGTTACGGAATATTGTGTGACACCTTCAGACAGCTTTTTGCCCAGGCAGAAACCTGAGTGAGGAATTGAGGGGTCAGGGAGGTGGGGGGCATAAAAGGATTTCAGTGACACTAGTAAAATCCCTCTGCAGGGTTTTACACATTCTTTGCATTCCACCAGATACCAAGATGCACAGGAATAAGATTCAATAGTGTAATAACATTTTTTAAAAACAACAACAAAACTTCACAACGTTCCTCACAACATTGTGTCCTCAGCCATGGTCTGTAATAGACATTTTTGGTTACAGAACATAATTGACGATTCAGAGCAGTGCATCTCAATGGACCTGATTATTATTATTATTATTATTATTATTATTATTATTATTATTATTTTAATGCATCAATAAAGCCATTACACCTTTAATCTTGTGCACCTTTGAGACTCTGTCTCTCCCTGTGACTGGTGCCTTCCCTCCTTCTCTTTTTCCGCTGGAATCCACCAAAAGCAAAATGTGAGGCAAGGCTGGAGATTCCCCGCTCAGGTGAAACTTCTGAGGGCTTGCCAAAAGTAGAATGGGTTTCATTGTAGCAGCAATAACAGCAAGTGGCTTAAACATGTTTCTGCTGAAGGCAACACATGTTTTTATAAGCAGAGACTGCGGAGGATTTAAATACCTGAGTTCTCTTTTCAGCGCATACTTGCCATCCTCCCAAGAGAGCTTCACCTATTCCTCATGCCGTCACCAGGCAGGAGTAAACTGCAGATGTGAAGCCCAGCGAGATGAGAGGCCCAGGCGAAAAAACCTGTTCGTACACGTAGCCCTCAAACATCCGCTGCCACTGGCTGCTACTGCATTTTATTTCAGAAGAATTTAACCATTTTTGCAGGAAAAGCAAAGAAGACTGGAAGGGAGGGGAGTGAGCAAAACAAGGGAAGACTTTTCATTTAGAATCATAGAGTTGGAATAGACCACAAGGGCCATCGAGTCCAACCCCCTGCCAAGCAGGAAACACCATCAGAGCACTCCTGACATATGGTTGTCAAGCCTCTGCTTAAAGACCTCCAAAGAAGGAGACTCCACCACACTCCTTGGCAGCAAATTCCACTGTCGAACAGCTCTTACTGTCAGGAAGTTCTTCCTAATGTTTAGGTGGAATCTTCTTTCTTGTAGTTTGGATCCATTGCTCCGTGTCCGCTTCTCTGGAGCAGCAGAAAACAACCTTTCTCCCTTACGAAGGTCCTGATTTTGCAAGTTTGAATTATGGCCATTTATTTTTAAGCCACAAGTGTTACTCAAACAATTAAGAAACACCTTTTCCATAATGTTCAGCTGGTGATCTGTTTTGATTTTTGTGTGGTTTTTATTGCATTATAATTGTTGTAAATGGCTTTGATATTTTATATGAAATTGCAGTACCCAAATATTTTTAATAACATGGACACATGATAAAAAGTTAGCATATCAATAATGGTTACTACCTTCTTTATTTGACAGAGGCCCTATGCGCAGGCAGAAATTCAAATGATGCACATTTTCATAGCAGAGGAAAGCAGTAGCTGTTGAATTTCTCTCCCTTGGTCAGCTTCTATCAGTTAAAATATATATATATTTGACAAATTTTTCTAGGTTAAAAATGCCATTTTCATTTTCTATGTTAAAAACCCAACTACCTTTAGGAATCAGTCCTACATTTACAAACCATGACAATCTCTTGCATTTTTAGAGGTGTTTTTAAATTCTAATTTTCTTTTAAGTTGCAGAGTCACATCCCCCAAGTATGCAGAAGGCATCCCCTTATTTTGGGGTGGTCTCATTTGCGTGTTCAGACCCAGAGACCTCCCCCCTAAATAAATTCAGACAAGACTCAAATTTTAGTTTTGGTTTTTGGCAGAATTTAGGCCACAACTTTATTGATTAAGTGAGTGGTTGCATAGGCTCTGGTTCAACTAGCTCCCTGCACCGTTGCAGGTAGCGCTGACCCAGGGCACCAGCATAGGTCAGCCAAGGGTGAACACGTGGATAAGCAGAAAGCCGGGAACTGGCTATCTCTGCCACCCAAATATCCCCCTGGACTCAGGCACGGGCTCAACCCCCTCTCAGGGGTTGACCAAACCATTGAGTCCCTGGATTCCTTTAACAGAATACCCTTTACATAGGGATGGCGAGACCATTCTCCCACCCCTATCACCTCAACCAGTGCCTATCCGCAACCTAACAAGTTGTGACGATTTGCTACACGGTAGGTGAAACCCAAATGGCAACCGCCAATCAGCCAAGTGGGGAAATTCCTGCCGTGCCCCTGTCCCAACGACAGATGACACACGACGGCATAGCAAGGTCAATCGCACAATGCCCTAAAATTAGGGAGAGGTGGGCGGGTGTTCCGATGCACACGCCGAAAGAAGCAGCTCTGGGTCACGTGCATGGGTATATATAGGTCCCTCGATCCGTTTAGACTGCACCCCATTGGCTAGATTGAACCCAACATTGAGGGGCCTACCAATTGGGTGTGGTGGCTAACCAATCCAACCCACCCACAACACAGGAGGTCAGTCTCCAGGTCTCACCGCAACACGTGCCCTCTTTTAAGGAGGACACGATTTCACTTACAAACTAGTTCATCAGTTGAATATTTGAAACAATGACTATCTGCTAAGTGCTCAGCCTCGTTCTTTGTGGCATCTTGCATTGCATCTTTGGTTGTCTCTGGAGCTGAAGGAGGGGAGGACAGTGACTGAAGAAAGAGCTGTGAGTGCAGGGGGCTGCTTTCCCCATTCTTTGGAAACCCAACTGCTGCACCTGGAACAGGGTGTGGAGAGTGAAGCTGAATGGGACACAGCTGTGGGCAGCCTGAGGATGGACCATCCACCTGCACATAAAAAGCAGGTCTAGAGGGAGAGACTAGAGTGACGTCCGCTGTTTAGAGAGACTCTTCTCATTGTGAGCTGAGAGTTTGTTTGGACTCTGGTTGAGAACCCGTAAACTCAGAGGAAGGTTATGTCAGAAGGGAAATGAACTGATATTGATAACTTTGTATTCATGTAACATTTTTATATGTGACTGTGTATTGTTGTAATATTTTTGTTTTGTCAGTTGTTGCTTCAGTTTTCCATACACCGCTTTTAGAGATATTTTTAATATATTAAACAGAATAGAAATCAAATAACCCATCAATCAATTAGTTGCCATCCTTGTATCGCTCTTGTATTGACATATGCTTGGAAAGATTTGCACTACAATCGTAAATCAATTTTAGAACAGGTTTTTTTTTTATGGTGTTCCTGAAAGAGTTAAAGAAATGATCCTTTTAGGAGAGGATTCTGTGTCACTCAGCCACAATTTCCACGACTCCTTGGCAATTAAATTGTTTTAAGACTGCAGTGCAGATGTGAGTCAAAGCATCAGCTGGCCATCCCTTGATTAATGGTGTGTGTTTTGGAAGTCAGATGGCAATTACAATCATCATCAAAGTATAATTTTAAAAGAATTAATAGTACATCTGCAGGGTATTAGCCTAATGAACAGTCAGAGATCATATCCTCCAGTTTGGAAATCTACTATTAATATTCCTGCCTTACTGTCATGGGCTTGGTCCAAATAGAAAGCAGCTTACAGCAACCCTTCAGTGTAGTCTGATATTGTCCTGGGCCTGTTGTTGTTCAACATCTTTATAAACAACCTGGATGAGGGAACTGACGGGATGCTTATCAAATCTGCGGATGCCACCAAACTGGGAGGGGTAGCTAATGCCCCAGAAGACAGAATTGGGATTCAAAATGACCTTCACAGATCAGAGAACTGGGCCCAAGCTAAAAAATGAATTTTTATAGGGACAAACATACTTCTACAGTTAGGCAGGAATAATCAACTGCACTAATATATGATTGGAGAGACCTGACTTACCAGTAGTACATGTGGAATTGCTATGGCCTGTCGGCTACGCAAATAAAGTCTATTGATTGATTGAGTACATGTGGAAAAGATCTAGGAGTCTTAGTAGACCACAAGCTGAACATGAGTCAACAGTGTGACACAGCAGCAAACAAGCTAATGCTAGTCTAGGCTACAGCAGCAGAAGTCTAGTGTCCAGATTAAGGGAAGTAATAGTCTCACTCTGTTTTGTCTTGGTCAGACCACACCTGGAATACTGTGACCTATTCTGGGCACCACAATTTAAGAAGGATATCGACAAGCTGGAATGTGTGCAGAGGAGGGCAACCAAGAAAATGAACGGTCTGGAAACCAAGCCTTACAAGGAAACAGTTGAGGAAGCTGGGTATGATTCACCTGGAAAAGAGGAGACTGGGAGGAAGAGGAGATGATGATGATGATGATGATGATGATGATGATGACAATGATGATAAATTTATTTGCTGCCCAACTGACTGGGTTACCCCAGCCATTCTGGGTGGCTTCCACACTGATAAGATGTTGTTGTTTAGTCGTTTAGTCGTGTCCAACTCTTCGTGACCCCATGGACCAGAGCACGCCAGGCACTTCTGTCTTCCACTGCCTCCCGCAGTTTGGTCAAACTCATGCTGGTAGCTTCGAGAACACTATCCAACCATCTCGTCCTCTGCCATCCCCTTCTCCTTGTGCATCCCAACATCAGGGTCTTTTCCAGGGAGTCTTCTCTTCTCATGAGGTGGCCAAAGTATTGGAGCCTCAGCTTCAGGATCTGTCCTTCCAGTGAGCACTCAGGGCTGATTTCCTTCAGAATGGAGAGGTTTGATATTCTTGCAGTCCATGGGACTCTTAAGAGTCTCCTCCAGCACCACTGATAAGATAGCCATCGTCAAATATCTCAAGGGCGAGATGGAGCAAGCTGGTTTTCTCCTGCTCTGGAGGGTAGGACTCGAACCAATGGGTTCAAGTTACAATAAAGGAGATTCCAACTAAACATCAGGAAGAACTTTCTGACAGTAAGAGCTGTTCGACAGTGGAATGGATGTATTTCTTCTGCATGAAATACAAGCTTGTGGTTTCTTCTTGGAAGGAAAGATTTCTGAGTAACATTTTGATGAGACAGGCTTTGTATTCACCCTAACAATGGGACATAAACTACACAAGCACCATAAGGAATGAATTGGAATATGAATTCCTAGAAGCACTGGGTAACTTGCCATGAAGGCATTGCGGAAAATACATAAAGAGGAGAAGGTGATGTGAGAAGACAGCCGTGTGCATAATCTTCAGCAGTCATGCAAAGACCACCTGGAAGAGCTCATCTCCTTTGGTGAACCTCTTCTTACAAATGGAGTGAAAAAATCCAAACACAACTTCACCATCCTTGCGGAAAAGGGATTTTGCTGAAACAAATACAGTGGTACCTCGGGTTAAGAACTTAATTCATTCTGGAGGTCCGTTCTTAACCTGAAATTGTTCTTAACCTGAGGTACCACTTTAGCTAATGGGGCCTCCTGCTGCTGCTGCCGTGCCACCATCGTGTGATTTCTGTTCTCATCCTGAAGCAAAGTTCTTAACCCGAGGTACTATTTCTGGGTTAGCAGAGTCTGTAACCTGAAGCGTCTGTAACCTGAGATACCACTGTATTAGACCCAAACCTCCTTGACAAGACTGTTGAGTCCTGGGCCTTTTTAGTCATTTCCATAGTCCACCTCCCCTGCTTGGGGGCCAATTAGCACCCAAAGGAGACAGCTGAGTAAATTGGTATTTTGGGGGGGACATTTCTGGACCTCCTCAGTGGTATGATTTACTAGGGGATCTTTTGCTTCCAGAGCAATGTTGACATATCTATCTAGGAA